ATATATATATATATATACACGTCTTCTAATACGTTGTGTAGTCAGAATCCATGTTTTCTTGGTCCTTGACACCGAAAAATCGACTGACGGAAAAACGTCAGTCAATCAGTTTGTCTATGGCCAACGTTAGCACCAAAAGCGCCGGTTCTGTCGATTTTCTGCAAAATTTATATTCTTAATTCGATCCAACGGAATTCGAGCCTCTCTGAAACGGCTATTTTGATACTGGGGGATACTTTACATAAAGCCTCGATTACCTTTTCAAAATTTTCTCAAAAATAGCTTCAATTTTTTTAATGAAATTTTATCCTCGGATACCGTACAGGACGCTTAAAAGAAGGTACAGCCTCTGTTTCGTTGAAAATCGTTGAATTTAGATTTTTTTGAGATACTTTACATGAATACCAATTCAGGAGAAAATCACCTGAATGGTTTAGGCGCCAGTGTTGACCACTGATCAATTATTCAGTGGGCCAACAAAACGTGGATTCTGACTACACAAAGTGATCGAGGAAATAATTTTCTAAGAGTAGGAACAAGATTTATTCTCTTTTTCGTTACAAGGGTCCCACAAGTCGCCGATTTCTCGCGCAGTCTTCCAATACTTTTTCTTTACTACGTAAGTACGTTGCTAGGAAAGAAAGTAAAAAGTATCCTAAATTATTCCTGGCAAAACACTTCAGTGGAAATCCTATTAAAATATTTTACCCGTTCCCAAGAATAACCGGAATAAAGAGACAAAAATTGTAGAAACAAATTACATCATGCTAAAACCATAGAACCTGATAGTTGATTTGAAATCACAGATCACTTCAGTTTTTTTAATTCGAATTTAAAATGTTACCAGTGTCTCCTTGGAGACATTAAGGAAGCGACTGGGGCAGTAAGCTATTGGCCCCAAATTAATTGGGGACCTGAATTGAAAAAAAAAATCGAAATTATATTATATACATACACACACATATGTATATATGCATGTATGCACACATGCACATATGTATATATGTGTGTGTGTGGGTGTATTTTATCATAATGTGTAATAAATTGTTATAAATAGGCAGTTTAAAATATAATTATAAAAATTTACACAAAGCTTATCTTCTTCAATATTTTTTTTTTAAGAATAAGAATATTTATTTAACTGTAGTTGTATAGTTATACATATGTGTGTGCATATGTGTGTATTTGTGTGTGTGTGCGCGCGCGCGCGTTTGTGTGTGTGTGTCCCATGAATGGTATTTTCTCTGGACGCCCCTGATAACTATATTATTATTATTATTATTATTATTATTATTATTATTATTATTATATTACATTACATTATGTTCTATTAGTATTATTCCTCTAATTCACGAGTGAAGATGCTATGAGTCAGTTGAATATAAAATCTACTCCGGGTTGCAACGAGCTTCCTAATGAGAAGATCTAATGGCTATCGATGCCCCCACGATACTTTGCATAAAATGTTGTTTCTTCTCAATAAAGCAATTTGGGAAGCAATATTCCCAGTCTTGTGAATGATCTAAGAGTTTAGCCAAGTTCTTACCCAAATTTTGCGGAATAAATCCCAGAGTTCCGATACTTTTCGGGCCGACCTATGCTTTTACGACCAACATTCGGCTGATCTCGATTTCCAAACTTGTATATTTAAGTCGTTTCTCTGTCTCCTTGGTTACTCGGTTTTTATCGCACGGCACATCAGCTTCTTAATCTGGACGCGTTTTTCTCCAAATCCGGGATAACAATATCTGGTGTGTATGCCGTTATCGTGGGATCAGTGTGATTTTTTTGGTCGTACAATATTGTGTAGAATCCAACAGATGTCACCGGTTTTGGTGTGTTCGTACCACTTGGGGCATGTGATTGGAAGTTCGAGGGCGGTACAGATCTGCTAGTGAAGGTATCTGTCGCGTCTTTTCAAGTATTTGGTTTTTGCTAGAATTGAACAAGCTGAGACGATACGATCAATGGTTTCTACTTGTTCCTGGCATATGTGCCATTTATCACCTTCGGGAATTTTGAGGACTGCTTTATCATAACGTCGTGTTCTCAACACTTGATTCTGAGCAGCTGTTAGAACTGCTTAAGATTCTTGCTTCATTATTCCATTTTTAAGCCACATAAATCATTCATATTTATTTATCTTTACCTTTTCCATTCTTTTAAGATATTTTCCATTGAGTGGTTTGTCTCTCAAAAATTTCTTTAACATTTTGTGTCACATTTCATGTTTAGTAGTATCAAAAGTTCAGTGTCTGTGTTATTCTGCGTGTCTTGCATAGTTTTCTTGGCAATGCTTCCTGATACGGTTACAATGCCTCTGTTCCTCATTCTTCAATCGAATTTAATGACCTGCCTCATTAGTGGGTCATCTTAATGACTGATTACATACTTTCCAATCCCGACTTTTATATTGTGCCAGGAGGATTACCTTTGTCTAAGACCTCTTCCTCCATGACATATAGTCTGTGTACAACATCTCGAGGGTGGGAGACATGATTCGTTGAAATCAGTTTTCTGGTTGTTCGAAAGTGGTTCGAACCATGTTTCGAATTTCTTGCCCAATCCAATTCACTAGTCCGAAACTGTACTTGGCTACAAGCATCGCCAAAGAACTTATTGCAGAAATTTTATTCTTTTAGTTAAGCGGACTGCAGGACAAGTTTTACTATTCTGCTATATTCCCTGCAAATACTCTTTTTTATTGTGTCGTTAGAGATTTTCTTGAATTCTTCAATTCCCAAGATCTTGAATCACAGTGTGCATATCAAATTCATTGCTCTCTTTGTCTTTGCTCCCTGTGTCACTTTGTCTCTCCTTTAATTGACTTTTATGCTTTAGTCAAGGCAAAATGTCAGGCAGACTGACAGGTTTTGCAAGAGAATAGCTCCATTTTTGGGAAACATTTTAAGATCACCCACTTGCATACATGATGTGATCGATTTCAGTAATATCTACTCTGTATCTCTACCTGAGGTCTGCACCATCTCATTTTGCTACCTCAACCAGCAGTCTCTACAGCAGCGTCTGGGTCTTTTGGAGAACCAAGCTGCCTTGCAAACCCGGGCGGTCAGGACTCGGCGTGAATCATTAAAACCTTTCCCGCGATGCATGTAATGTTCAGGAGAACAGCCTTTTGCATTGTCTGCAATGCGCCAATTTTTAAGGTCAAGACTGGCAGATGAAGTTAGTCCTTCAGAGATCAGTCCATTTGCAAAGATGACCACAAGAACTACATCAACAGATACTAACCGCCACATGTCACTCAGTTCAATAGCGAAGGACCGATATTTCTACTTCTCTTCGGCAATGGAGGAAGCTACATTTCGGTCTAAATCAGTATTACTATTATCACAAGCTTCAGGAAGAATATGAAAACTGAGATTTTACTATAAAAATCCAAAAGACGGAATATATAGTTGAAGATGGCAAAGAATGGAACGACATAGTCACAAAGATCAAACAACGGAAGACGGTCAGATATCTTGAAGTAATTCTTCTGAAATAGTAGAAGAACTAAGGATAGGGCAAGAAAAAAGAGAGGTCAATTCAACTGTCTAATTTTAGTACAAAAATCACACAAACAACAAAATGAATCATTTATAGAATAATAGTAGGGAACAGTATAACGGACTTAAGAAGCAGAATATATAGAGCCCGACTTATGTCCCTTGAAAAGGACTTTTGGTGGAGTTGCCGTTTAGTTCAAATGCGAAATGAAACCATCCAACAAAGGATGTATAAGGAAGGATCCATCTTAGTCACGGTTGAGAAGCCAAGTAATTGAGCTAGAATGGGCGTATCCAACCGATAGATGACACAAGGTGGCCTAAGAAAGGGTGATTGTGAACACATACATCAAGAAGGAATTCATCCAGAAGCTGGACAAAAGATGTAGAATTGAATGGATGCAAGATCTACGAGAAGTAAACTGGTTAGACTGAAAATATTGGAAGCTGAGAAGTGAGAAAGTCTCAACCGTAAACAATTCGTAATATTTATACGGATAATATTAATATATACTGATAATTAGGGGGGGCAGATTTAAATGATCTAAAACGTTGCCAAAAATGACCAATCAAATGCGCTTAAAATACTTAAAAAATTACCTAAAAATAAACAAGAATGACGTAAAACATTTTGATCAAATCCACTTTAGATGAACAACTCAATCTGTTGGATATGTTACTGATGTTATCGAATCTACTTCCTTTTATTCAAGTGAACTCAGCCCGCAAACTTTTGGTTTGGACTGTTCTTTAAAAGAAACATTTGCCTTTATTTATCGTGAAATCGGCCGAACTGACAATGGCGCCGATAGGCGTCACAGGAACCTTACATTACATAGTGCTTACAACGCTGACATTACAATAAAAGAAGAAATAAAATAAGCTATTCAGGAACTCCGTGGTAAGCATTTGTTGCACCTTGTAAATATTGTTTGAAGCAATTACAATTATCATGATATTAAAGTCAATGAAATCACTGAAAAATGCATTAAAAATTATGTAAAAATATAAAAAGTGACTTATTAATCGAAATCTGCAAAAAAATACACAAAAAAATAACGCATAAAAGTAGTTCATTTTCTTCTGTCTTAATATAAAATGAATTTCTGTACTAAACGCCATTATCCTAAAGTGAAAAGAAAAAAAAAGACATTTCATTAAAATCCGCTCCCTGCTGATAATATTTATATGAACGGATAATATAAATATATATGGATAATATGGTATAATAATACAAGCTCAAGCCGTGACACCCACTTCTCGGTTCCTTGCCTTGTAACGTCTCTCTTTCGTGGTTGTTCTCGCGTTGTCGCTTGTGGCGCCGCTGCAGAGCCACTGCGGAAGGAACGACCACGAAGAGAAGCAAGGCAACGACCGCCCCGCCGCCCACCGCCCACCACAACCACTTGGGCCACTCTCGATCACCCGACGACCCATCGCCCGGCGAGCTGACCGCCGACTGCTCGCACTCCACTCGCGCGCCTGGAACAAAAACGACCATTGCAGTTCTTTAAGCTTTTATCCAGGAAGGCAGTGTGTATGAACGGGTTGTGTTAATAATAGGGGGGAGGGGGCTGGGTTGAGAAAATGTAGGGACCCTTTAGGTAACAAACAATATTGGTATGCATATAATATCTTGTATAATTGTATACTGGTACGCATATAATATATTGTATAAAACATTTTCAGCTTTACGATTTTATCCACGAATGCAGTGTGTATGAAAGGGTTGTGTCAATAATAGGGGGCTGGGCTGACATGTAGGGACCCTTTAGGTAACAAACAATATTAGTATGCATATAATATATTGTATAAAATATTTTAAGCTCTACGATTTTATCCATGAATGCAGTGTGTATGAAAGGGTTGCATTAATAATAGGGGGGGGGGGCTGGGTTGAGAAAATGTAGAGACCCTTTAGGTAACAACAAATATTGGTATGCATATAATATATTTACATTCATAATGATTACCAATAAATAATTGAGAAAGTATAAAAATCAATTAGCAATTGAAACATAGTATTCAAAAAAATCATATTAACGGAATTATTATTATTAATTATTATTATTATTATTATTATTATTATTATTATTATTATTATTATTATTATAGCATTATTATATAGTGTATATTTTCATTGTAGGGTTTCTTTAACCTCAGAAAGCGATTAGTATTTCACTTAAATCATTGATTCGTAAACTTATTTTCACCGAACAATAGGCCATCTAACAATAGAAATTCATAAATACTACAGCATTTTAAGTAAATTATGCATTTTTGAACACACTATTATCGATTTTAATATAAATGTTCAGTCCTTGCTATGCAAAATATGTTTTGGTGATAAAATTATACATTTCCTTCCTTCGAAGAGTCTCGTCTTGTAGTATTGATCTTTTAGGAATTCTCTGACATTTTGAACAAACATTGGGAAATCACTATACGAGTATATATACTCCTGCTAGCTCACATTCCTCAGTGGCGTTTCCTGGAGGCGGTTGGCCACAGTTATCTTCGTAACTTCCGCTCCGTAGATTGCGATCCAGCAGACAATGTGAAATAGAGTTACAAGTATATGTCGCTAAACACTTACCAATATTTCAAATACAATTATATATATTTACATTTATTTTAAAGTTAATATTCCTTGAAGGAAAAAAGTTTCATATGTTTCAAAATTGTTGTAAATCCGTACATTTATAGATGAATTCCAAGTTGGTCATGGTGTAATAATTATAGTTTAAAAAAAAATAATGCTGATCCAATAATAGGCTGTTGCCATATTTAAGAACAATCGCTTAATCCAAACATTTTTAGACTTCAATTATTGCACATGCTTGTTCTTTCCTGAATTTCGGTTAAATGTTCATCAGATCCCATAAATAATATATTATTTTATTATGATTATAACACAGTAAAAATATGGACAGCGTTGTCAAATATTACAGAAAGAAATAAACAATCCTTAATATAGCTCTTAAGTTGTCAGAGTTTAAAAAATGATTTTCCTCTGAGGTACAATAAATTAATCGTTCTCTATGTTCTCTCAGTAATTTAGTAGATCCCTTGAAGTGGGGCCCTGGCCCTCACCCTGGCCCTCGCCCTGGCCCTCGCCCTGGCCCTCGCCCTCGCCCTCGCCCTGGCCCTCGCCCTCGCCCTGGCCCTCACCCTGGCCCTCGCCCTGGCTCTGGCCCTCGCCCTGGCCCTCGCCCTGGCCCTGGCCCTCGCCCTGGCCCTGGCCCTCGCCCTCGCCCTGGCCCTCGCCCTGGCCCTCGCCCTGGCCCTCGCCCTGGCCCTCGCCCTCGCTCCTCGCACTCTCGCCCTCACCTGGCAGGCAGCTCCTCCCGTCAGGCGCCGGCAGCGTGCACGTGCAGTTGGCCAGCTCGGGGCAGTCGCGGGCGTCGAACTGCAGACCGGCGTCGCGCAGCTCGCACGGCCGCGCGCAGTCCGCGCCCGTCCACCCGCGCACGCACTCGCACGCGCCCGCACGCGCGCATTGCCCGTGCACGCACGGCGGCGTGCACGGCTGCGAGGGCGTCGGAGAGACCTCAGTGGGCGGGCTCTGCGAGGGTGGCGGCGGCGGAGGCGGAGGCGGCGGCGGCGTGGGCGGGGCCGTCGGAGGTTCCGGGAGTGCAGTAGTGGCAACGGGCGAAACAGTTGTGCTCAGTGTTTTGCAAAATTGCAAAGTCCGACTCCAAGAGGTTCCGTTGGGACAGATGCCCACGCAGTCACCTTCTTCGCTTAGCTGTAGACAAAAAGTTCGTCACATGTACAGAAATTTTCTTCATAGCAAAGTCTTTTCCCTCTTTGAACTTTTGAGGAAAAATACACCACCTCTCTGACGCTCATGATCTGTCACTAAGAAATAAATGAAAGGAAATTAATGGCAGCTCTCCTAAGAATCGGAACATATTTTCGACATTAACTTTAACCTAATTCATTTCTCTACTTAGCCAACATCTCTGCGTTTCTCGGTTTAAAAGTGCAAAAAAATAAAGAACTATTATGTTATTTTGGATTTTCGATAGTTAGTTTGAATAAAAATTAATATTCTACAAGTATGCCAAGGAGTGTCCAGTAAAGAATAGGAAATTACTGCTGTAGAAAAATAGTTTGAGAAGTTTCACAATATTTTCATTTACTTCATTTATGTTTTCCACGATATAACAAAAATTACCGCTAAAATAATTTCAACCATTTTTCTCTTCATAACGGTGAGAATTTTTATGTATGCAATTGGAAGACAAAGTTTGATGTATGAATTTAAAAAAGATTTCTGTTTCAGATCAGAGAAAGACATAATAAGAACCAACAATCATATTATAAAATAAATATGTTGCACGTTCTTGTAATTACTTAAAAGTGCTTCCAATAAGTTAAAAATACGTCTTAATGCTTTAGTCCCAAAATATTTAACTTATTATGAAAAACTTCACCGTCGAGATACTTAAAAGTTTGTCATGACTAGTGGGTCCCATTATTCAAATGGTTGAGATCCTCTGGAATGAACTGATTCTTTGCCTGCTACGATGCGGCTCCACTGACAAGTGGTATCAATTTGAAGATGTACTTGAAGTTGTACAGAATTAAACTATGTTTCTAAAAAGATAAATATACGTCAAAAACGTATTATTCCTCGGGTAATTGTAATATTATTCAAAACAATTCAATACTATTCAATTCAAATATTAAAAAAAAAAAAATTAATAGAAATTCGAACTATATCTTTTAGAAAAATAGTAAAAATTAAAGGTGAACAACCATATTTAATTATTTTATTTTAAGTCAGTTTATAAATTATAAGCTACTAATAGAACGTAATGCACGAATTAAATACTAATTGTTCCCACAAAACGTGTTCTCATTTTTTTTTAAAAAAAACCGCTCCTCCTCTTTTCGCAAGCCGCTATTGGAATGTCCCCCCTCCTCACCTGATGGCCCGATTCGCAGTTGCAGACGTTGGTGGCGACGCATTCGCCGCCGAAGCCGCACGGCGGCCTGCACTGCGGCACGCACAACACGATGTCGTCGTCGCGGAACTGCTCGAAGCCCGCGTTGCACACGCACTCGCCCGGCGCCACGCACCGCCCGTTCACGCACCCGTCCTCGCACTCCGGCACGCACCCGCCCTTGCCGTCGTCCACGTACCTGAGGGCGGGCGTTACGAGTGGCTAAGGGAAGATTGGAAGAAACGAAGAAAAAAAAGATTCGATTGATTGATGTTTGAGAGCGCGCCAATGGCTAACGACATCGGTCCCGTAAGTGTAGTGCATGATTGTATGGCGCGAGATGGCGGCGATCTCCCGTTGGATGATGACATCCGGCACCGACCTATATGTCAGCTTGTGGGGTTTTCCCCAACCAAGAATCTCCCCCCAGCGAGGCACCGCCCCAGCAGGGACAAGCTCTCAACTTCCGACTACTCTCCTGGCACATGCGGTAGTGTGGTGCATGTAAATGTGTGATTTAATTAAGGGGCGAGGAAAATACCAGAAAGAGGAACGTAAGATCTGTGGCCCGTTTGTTGGTGTACTACTCAGGAATTCGCCCGGTGTTGATCGGAGAAACCGCGTAAAACTACTAGATCAAGCAGCCGGCTTCTGGAATTCTCCTCCAGACCTCGGCTGAAGTCGACCTAGCTGCCTAGCTAGTGTCGAAAATACCGCCACCGTCCAGAATCGAACCGTAGGCCCTCCCGGTCAGAGGCATTTCAGCAACATTAACTGGTGCCCTGAGCCACTAAGGTTTGGTGAAGAATGATTAAAACGAAAGGAAAAGAAACAACAGCACACACGAAAATGGAGAAGACAGAAAAAACAAATTAATGAAAGAAAATGCGTAAAAGACAACAAATAGCGCTGTGCGCTTTACTTTTATTCGCGCATTCATTCAGTCAAATATCATCCGGGCTTAAACTAATACACGTGGGCATTCAGTTATTTGAAAATTCTTCGGCTGAGCTTGAGTATTCAATCATCGAAACATTAATTCATAGTAATTCATTACGAAATTCATGCATTTGAACATTCATGCATTCGAACATTAATTCTGACATTCATTCATCTGATCATTCCTCATGTAATATTTATTCTATCATTTGAGTATTCACACATTGCAACCTTAATTTTTTATTTATTTATTTTTCACTCATTGAAACCATTGTTCATTTCTTAGAATATTCATTTTTTCGAGCATGCATTTGTTATTTACTAATGCATTCCTAAATTTACTTCTTAATTAATTGGTGTCTAATTAATTAAACCATTAATTAATTCAGTCATTACGTCATTACCTTATTAATTCTCTACATCACTATTCCATTCACTTATTCAACATCTTGCTTCGGTCATTCACCGTGCTTAGCAGCTATATGCCTGTGCTTAAGTTGGAGGGAGAGGACAGTAGTTTGTTCGCACCGAAGTTGACGGGGCATATGCAGCTACGTTCTATAACGGTTTTGCTTCTTCTTATACAAAACCATCTCATATAACAGCCGTTTGCTGCTTTGGAGCGCTCTAGTAGCAATTATTTAGCAAGAAAACAATTGGTTAGCGCCAAACGTTTGAAAATCATGCTGGTAGAAAGCTCCAACAATGACTGTGCGCACATCACGTCGACACTGGTCGAGCGCTATAAAAACAAAATTAATTTAGGCACTAACGGGTTAATTGTTGTCTCATTAATTAAACGTTTAATTAATTCAATCATTACTTCATTATTTCTCTCTCTCACTCATTCATTAACTACCTCCGGCCATTCATTCCCCATGCTTTCATCAAGAAATTCATTTGCGCATTTCTGCTCTGCGATTTCCAGCAGCACGCGTGCCACCTACCCGGAGATGCATCGGCAGACTTTGTTGGCCAGGCAGAAGGCGTGCGGGCCGCAGGGCGGCGAGCACTCGAGCAGGCAGCTGGCGGGGTCGCGCGGGTCTGGCACGAAGCCCTCTTTGCAGGTGCAGCTGGAGCCCACGCACTTCTGGAAGTCCCTGCACGGGGGGCGGCACAGGTTCCACCCGCTCGGCGGGCCAGGCCCGAACTTGTCGCTCCAGGTGCCGTTCCTGCCGCTCCCGGCCTTCCGGCACGCGTGCCTGCAAAGGTCGGCGGGCGCTGCTTTACCACGTGCACGTGCTCCAGATTGGTCCATTGATTGGTGTTACCGGTTGCGTCAACTGCTAAGGTTATTGGTCGCGTAAGTGTAGTGATCCCCCAGTGGATGACGTCGACCTCCCCGCCGGCTTGTGGGTAGGTCTGCGCTAGTTAACTTCCAGGTATCTCCCAGCGGGGCACCGCCACAGCCCGGGCAAGCTTTGAGCTCTCAATAGTCTCTCGACAAGTGTGGTAGAGTAGAACATGCGAGTGTAAGTGTAAGTAAGGGGTAGGGATAGGACAAGAATGAGAAAGGAAAGATAGCGCGCGGTCCAAGCCCCGTTTGTTAGGGTACTACTCCGGCATTCACCTGGTGTTGATCGGAGGGACCACGTAAAATTAACGATCAGAGCAGCCGGCCGCTAGAATTGACCTCCAGACAGCGGCTGCATTCGACCGTCCAAATAGGCTAGTGTCGAAAATCCTGCCACAGTCGGAGTTGAACCCTCACGGTCCAGAGCCACTAATGCCCTGAGCCACCTAAACCAGTGCTCGTGCTTCAGGTGATGCGGATCCTGACGTACTTCAGTCGAGTGCTTCGTCAAATGAAGGTGAAACAGGTAGAATTCGATTGAAATATTTAGCTCGTAACCTAAGAGAATTTTGAAGGCTGGAAGCAGCGAATACTACATTTCAAAATATATCGGCGAATCCTAAATATCAAATTTGATGTTGCGTAAACATATATTTTTATTTCATTGCATCTTTACATGTACATATATATTCGACATTTGACACCATTGGTTGCATGCTCTGGAAATATTCCGATAATTCGGAGAGAATTATGGATATCATATACATAAAAATAATTGTTCATTCCCCATTTACTTATACACAATTCACTGAACTTCTCGGAACAAAGAATAAAAAAGAAAATAACAAGAGCTAAAAGCGCAATAAAATGTATACAGAGTTTATTTCGTGTTTCTACAACTGACACTTAAAAATGTTAATAGCATTTGCAACAGTATTTGCAGTGGCGGATCAAACATATTTTGACGTACTTAATCGAAATAAATTTTAAAACTCGAATCCAATTATTTTTAGTTCCTAAACCCGGTTTACTCATATGTCATTAAACGCACTATATCAAAATTGAAAAAAAATTCATGAAAAAGAAAACGTGTATAGATGCCTTCATTTCAAAACTCGAATAAAATGTTTTGAAATTAATATTATTAGCTCATTTTGATTCTTTAACCTCACAATCAGATTTGACAATCATATGACAGTTGAAAATAGAAATCGTTTCACTGAATGATACAAAATAAAATTGGTTTTTAAGTTACGATGGAATTGCACTCAATGAGTCATACTAACTCTATTTACTTTCTTATGTATCTAGTTTATATGTACGAGAAAGAGACGATTGCAATGAGAATGTACAGGAACATCAATATCAAACCTCAGAGATCGTGTACGGAGAAGAAAACTAATTTTTTTGTTCCCAAAAGTACATTACGTGTTAAACCAATGAGCCTGTAATGTCGGAGGACGAGAAAAATGGACAGTATGGTCAGATAAAGGATGTTCGAGAGGAAATTATATGAAAGATTAGTAAGTATCCTTAAAAACCACAAGGAAATCAGAGGAAGCTCTTATCAAGAACAAAAGCAGTCCTCAAGAAACAGATAAGGCGAAATGCATCATTTGAGGAGAAAATTACACTACAGGACGCATACTGTGCCGTTTTCAAACGAGATGGATTCTGTTTAAAATATGTCCATTTAAAATTATTGAATTATTAAGATAAAGTAGTTAAAATTATTAAGTCCATTGGATACTATTTATTTATAAATTTGAAGGAAAATGAAAGAAATATAAATAAAAGAAATAAAAAGCCAAAAAGGAAACAAGGAAAGGGGATAGAAAGAAAACGAAAAAAGAAAATGATGTTTCCAGCACGTCTACTCCTACGGATATTAGTCCCGTTAGTTTAGTGAATTCTGTTATGCCTGGTTGACGCGATTTTTCTCCTCGCTGGACGTGAGATCCGGTGCCGACCGTCATCAGCTTGTGGACGAATTCCCCTCCACGTTCCTCCCCCAGCGGGGCACCGCCCCTCCCGGGAGAAGCTCCAAGATATCGAATGGTCTCCCGACATGTATGGCAGAAAAGTGCATGCAAATGTAAGTGAGGGAATGAGGAGAGATGATAGAACAAGGGAAAGGAAAAAAAAAAGATCGCGCGTGGGATGTGATCCGTTTGTTAGAGTACTGCTCCGGCATTCGCCTAGTGTTGATCGGAGAATCCAGCGAAATACTACAGATCACAGTAGCCGTCCGCTGGAAGTCTCCTCCGGACTGCGACGCAACTCGACCTAGCAGAGAAGCTAGTGCGGAAAATCCAACACCATCAGCACTCGAACCCTAGGACATCCCGGTCAGAGGCAATTCAGCTCTGCGCTAAGACAGCCGGTAACAACAAGAAAAGAAGAAAAAAAGGAAAAGGAAAATAAAAAGAAAGAGTAAAGAAGGAAAAGGCGCAAGTTGCGATCACATACTTAGAGTAAGTGGGTTCGAAGCCTTCCTTGCAGCAACTTGCGTTCCACTGCTGCAAGAAAAGATGAAGAAAAGAAAGGAAAATAGAAAGAAAAGTCACAAATTGCGGCCACGTAACTCGAGATCGTAGGTTCCAAGCCTTCCTTGCAGGAGCACGTGTTAGGACACTACAAGAAAAGAAGAAGAAGAAGAAGAAGAAGAAGAAAGGAAAGGAAAAGAAAGAGAAAAGAAAGAAAAGTCGCACATTGCGACCACGTACCTCGAGGTGGGTTCGAAGCCCGCCTTGCAGCGGCACGTGTTTGGCCCCACGCAATCCGCGTTGACGCAGAGCGGTTGGCAACGCGGCGAGCACTCGTGTTTCGGCGAGCCTTGCTTGCGCGAGTAATCGGGTAGACACGTGCACTCGTTGGGGAACGTGCACGTGGCGTTGATGCACGCCGGCTTGCACACGGGGCGACACCGCGGCACTGCGCTGTCTGTGTCTGCGGCCGCCCCCGCCCCCTTCACTTGCTCCCAGCCCTCGCAGCAGGTCAGCACGGGCTTCTGGCTCACAAGATCACAACCATCACACACAAGGTGGACATCCCTATCTACTTTGCCTTAAACCAATAAACAAATAAATATAAATAAAAAATATTAACGCCTATCTCAGAACAGTTTATTTATACATTCTACTCTCTCAGAGCTGCCCCATTTCAAATACTTGCTTCCATTGTATTATATATATATATATATATATATATATATATATATATATATATATATATATATATATATAGAGAGAGAGAGAGAGAGAGAGAGAGAGATAGAACACAATTTCATTCAGAACAGAAAATTCGCTGAGCCTTGAGAATGGGCAGACCCATCGAGGAATATCCAATTTGGAGGAAAACCTGTGAAAGGTTTCCGCTCCAGTTTTGTTCAAAGATGGGCGGACAGAGATGAATAGTTTTTGTAGCAAAAATAACTTTTTCCATTTCAAAGAACTCAAAAATGTGTATTACCGTCAAAATCTCAACATCGATGGTTTGAGCATTACAACTCTTTATCTAGGTACAGGTAAAAATTAATTACCTTAATCTCTGCCAGATAATTATGTTTTCTATAATTTAATTCACTCTACATTTCGAGTTGGATGGAACCCAGGTCATATTACTTTGTCGTTGACTTAAATACTTACGGTTATATAATTTTTAAGAACTTTTCATAGATCCAAAATCAAATAAACTATTATGTTAGGTTATTTCATACAGTATTGCAAAATTATTAAAATAAATTCTAGAAATTGGAAGAGATATCTCGACTACAATTTTATATTACAATTTCATTGTTTTAGTTGCCCAAGGTTGGTCAGGGTTAACCACCCCTTCAGGAATCTGAAGAACTTCATCTGCTAACTCACCTCCTCTGGTGACCTGCACAAAAAAGTGAACAACGAATAACAAAATGTTTACAAGTAGAATGGAACACAGTCAGTAATAATGAAATGAATACCATATTATATTGTATTGAAAAAGACTTAAACATTGTGAAGTTTAGAAATTGAAACATTTCAGTGGCACGAAATATTAAATACGAAATAAATACGAAATAATAAATACGAAAGACCACAGAAGCGAAGAGTTTGAATCACCCAGAAATTACAGAAAATAATATTATTTTACTATTATTACTCAATTCGTGTGTAATTATTTCTTTCATTTCAAAAATACAGTTGTTTCAAAGCAAGTTACTTTAAAAACTTAAAAACACACACTAATTGATCCAGCTATATATTGACAAGCTAGCTCAAGGCTGCCTGTAAAGATGAAACTGCATTATTAAAAAGTATCATAACAAAGAATGAGATTGCAAAAATGTATTTTAGTATTATTGTGAGTAGGTCGGATGGAATGGATTGCTGTTGTATCTGCAGAATTGCTGAACGGGAGGTCCTACGGTTCGATTGATAATTCGTATTAATTCGGCACGTCAACTGCAATGCTCATTGTCCCGTAAATTATGGTGACTGAACATGGCTACGTTCAGGCGCACCTGCATCGCTTCGGCCTCGCAGATGATGACACGTGCCCACTCTGCTGCGATGGTCCTGTGGACGGAAATCTCATCTCTTTCTGCCCCGAGCTGGTCGGCGTGACAGCGTAGGTGGGCACCATCTCTGGTAAAGAGTTGTAGACGATCACCCTCACCATGATTTTCAACGCGACACTCACATCGATAGCTTTAAAGTGGAGGCAGTGAATAGGAGATGCTAAGTTCCTGGTTGCTGGGCTTGCCCGGTAACCCACCAGTCGGGCCTATGTCATGACTTTTGGGCAGGATCGGGTGAAGGAGATTCTTCGGAATTTTCTAGAATCCACATATAGAAGTCCGGTTGGAAACTGATACCACTCGTCAGGTTGTCTGGGTTCACTGGCGATACTCACGTCGTTAGCCTAAAGGCGTAGGCAGTAAGGATACGGGATGGGTTCTCCGAGACGCCCGAACTTTAGTTGGGGGGGGGGGGCTCCGTGTTGGGCTCTCGGCTTCGTCGTGGCAGTGGCCCGACACTGGGTAAAGAGGAGGGACTTGGTCCCAGCACATATGAGTGGCGCTTATATTCGACTCGGGTACTAGCCTAGATGGGTTGTAGCTCTGGGCTGACAGGATCGCCCCAACCCAGGCATTGAATAGGGAAGTTGCCGTGAGGGCAAACTGCGTTCCGCCGGGATCCGAATATGTGGCTGGTGGCGTACTTGTGCATCGTCGGTGAGTTAAGGTAAAAGCGGAAAGCTGAGAGACCAACCCCGGGAACTTGTAGAACAAGAATTAGTGTGGAGTAGTAGCCCAAGCAAGGGCCAGGCTGCCCCGAGCTGGACGACCAGCTGTCCAGATCCGCGCGTTACCGGAAGGTCCGACGCTGAATGGCTTAACAGCCAAGAGCGGGCAGGGGATACAGTTCCCGTAAATGTTGTGCATTTTTTCACGGAAGGTGGCGGTGAGGTTCACTGTATGGTGAGATCCGGCGCCGACCTACTCATTGGCTTGTGGGGGGGGGTATTCCCAACCAGGTATTTCCCATCAGCGAGGCCTCGCCCCAGCCGGGGCAAACTCAAACTGTTCTTCCGCCATGTGTGGTAGTGTAGTGCGTGTAAGTGTAAATGTGCGTTGGTACGGGGTAAAGACAAGACAAGGAAGAGGAAGGAAATATCGCGCGATGGCCATTTGTCAAGGTACTACTCCGACATTCGTCTGGTGTCCCTAGAAACCAGGGAAAACTACCAATCAAAGCACCCGGCTGACACTTCTAGTGTTCTCCTCCAGATAACTGTTTAATTCGACCTAGTTTCAAAAACTTATGAAAGTGATGTACGCTGAGAACTTAATTGCAAACATTGAAAGAAATTGTGAACATAAAATTTGTCAAAAGAAATCGACTGTTCACGAAAGATTACAAGTGTATTTTTTCATTTATTTAAAGTTGCGTAAATACATGTATAATAAATTTATGTATACTGCTTCTACTTTATTTTGAGAATAAACAGTTATTATTAATGTAAATATTGGTTTATTGGTGACGACGTATTTATAGTCCAAATACTGAAATAAAAGGCGTCATCATTGTGTGGCGTCGTTAACCCGAGGGCCAGAACCGTTAGGTCGTTGAAAGTACGCTGCGGGGGAGGAAGGGGTTGAGCCTGAACTTCCGGGAGTTTGCGCTCTGGCGGGTGACTCAGGTAGAACCGCAGAGCCAAAAATACCGTAGGCTGTAAACTCCGAGGATGCTAGCCTGCGAGCCTCGTTTACGGAAGCAGGCAGCCAACCCTAAGAATCCTGTGTGGGGGCGTAAACCAAGGCTGGCCTGCGAGCCTCGCGCCAGCCGGCGAGCCTATCTATGGAACAGTGGTGGGGGTGTCCGCCTCAACTATTTAACGCGGCGCCATCTGCGCCCGCGCTCTCATTCAGTTTGCATCGGGAAGCTTGTACGTGTGTGTACAAGGGGTGTAGGACTGTGGGCGAGATGTCCGGAGAGTAAGGGCCAGACGATCTCGCGTGCTGTAGGCACACGGTCGCCACGACCGGGTTAAATTTTGGCGTTGTTGTAAATATTTTTGTTGTTGTCCAAACTTAGTTTTCCGGCGCACGATTACAATACTTTCTCTTCTTACGAAGGACGAGAAAATAAAAGATAAAAATGAACCTTTAAAAATGTCATAGCTTTTAAAAAAACATTTCAATTACAATTTTTTGTTTGTTTTGAAGGAAATCACCAAATGTTTAAGTACATTAAAATATCTAAATTCCGTCAACCGAAGTGCAGAGCGAACTTTAATATTTATTCAATTTTTTGAATTTAAAATATTTTTTGATCTTGCGACCGAACGAATTGGGAGGAAGGGGATGTAGCAATTTTATGTCATATAAATAATGATGACATTTTGGACTTTCACAGGACAGAACTAAAAAAATAATACATTTTGGATGAGAATTAATAATATTCGTATCTTTGGATTACAGTCCATTTCTTACGAAATTTCGGGCGACCTTACTTCAAGTTGTACACTTACGACTCAGTTCTTCGCGTTTCTTTCATATCCTCAGCGAGTTCAAGGACTTCCCAGGAGAATTTACTTGGTCGTGCAATTTCCACGTCACGATGACGCACGTGGGCGCGGCGGAAACGAGCAAGCGGAGTCAACAGTTCCGTCTTTGTAGGTCTTCCCTCACGCACCTCCGGGAGCAGCATTCGTTGCGAAGTCGCCCACTGTGACTCCCGCGCCAGCCGATAAGTCTGCGCCTTCTTTGCCTACGGTTGAGTTCCGCAAACTGGGTTGAAAATTAGAAGATCCCAAACAATAACCCAAAACTATGAGACTCCTTTCCTATGTATACTTACTATCCTACTTGCCGGGTGGCCGGTCGGTTAGAGCTTGTTCCGATTGGGGAAGGTGCTCCGTTGGTGGGTGATACCTGGTTGGGGAAAACCCCGGTAGCCGACGGCAGGTCGACGCCGAATCTCGCCCTCAAGTGAAGGAAAATCAACGCCACCGCCATAGGACAAGCGTACACAACACTTACGGGAATAATGACATTTGCATAGGACACACACCACACTTACGGGAATAGTGACCTTTGCTGATGACGCGCCCGAAATCACTAATAACCAATCAATCAATTTTAAGTGTTAATTAAATGCCTTACTCTAAGGTTATCAAAACATTTATTGTTTGAATGGTTATTCGAGCGTGGCAACTGCAAGGGTCATCCGTCCCGTAAGCATAATGCACGGACAGATAGACAGACAGACGTACGGATAAAGGAACGGATAGAGGGACGGATAGAGGGACGGACAGAGGGGCGGACAGAGGGGCGGACAGAGGAACGGACAGAGGGACGGACAGAGGGACGGACAGAGAGGCGGACAGAGAGGCGGACAGAGAGGCAGAAAGAGGGGCGGACAGAGGGACAGTTTTGCCAGATTTTTCGGTATCAACGACCCGCAAAATATAGATTCTGTCTACACTACGTGTTAGAGATTTTTTTCTAAATAGTAACTTGATTAGAGTTTTTCTGGCGCAATTCAACGTTTTTCGCGCAACTTTACACAACTTCCTCTCTCCTGCTTGGGCGGTAGCAAGAAAGTAAAAATGACTACTACTCTCGAATTGAAGTCTTCTCCGTTGGCCACCCGACCATTGTATTGAAGATCTTCGTAAGTTGACCTTCGGATTCTGACGCATCGCATCATGAAAACATTGCGCACCGTCTGTTCAATGTCAACGCAAGTGAGCGCACGCATGGAGGCACAGCCAGAAACAAACCACGCCAAGAGTTCTTGCATGCGTGCTCACAGTTCGAATAGAACTCTGTGACAAAATGATTTATCTCGAGATCAACAAAATCGTTTATAGCTTTTGAATACCGTTTTGAAACAATCATTACAAAATTTAATTATCTATGTATCAACATGAGGGTTGTAAGTTATTTATTTTTATTAAGAAGGCAATTCGTTAGTTTTAACTCCCCACATCGTGAATATTTCATTTAGACTGATTATGCTTTCGAAGAGAAATATTTTTCAGAGGCTTCCAAAAGTTCATTAATGTCATGTGAGTGTTTGTTCTAAAGAAATACAATGTCCGGTTTTCCCGCTTCAGAATTAATTCTTCTACTTTATATTTGAACGTGCTTTTTTTCATTTGTCATAATTAGTTGGTAAGAAATGTAATGTTTTGAATGAATTTAGTGAATTGCACATCAATATATGAATTAGATATGAGATATTATAACACTAATTGAATACGATAGTTTTTCAGTATTGTTGCAAGTATCATCAGAACTTAACTGAGATGAAAGAATAGATAACAATTGTCAACAAAATACATGATACGGGTAATTTCACTTCATCTAAGCTTCTAGTCCACATATCATCAGTTTTCCCAATTCAGTTCCTAAGCTGACACTAGATAGATGTCATATATTATACTGACTTTCACTTCTCTTATGAATGGGGACCTTCTTTTACGATGTATTTAAATGAATAATTCATTTCTGAGGCTCCAATGCGCAAGCAAAAACTCTTAATACATAACATGGAATTAATTACATAAGGTTAGAAACTCTTGCACTATCAGACAATACTCAACAGTTTCTTTTTTCTTTTTTTCCCTGAAATTCTAGAAAGGAAATCTTACTTCCTTATCATGTGGGCTGAGGCTTTTTGCGCAACACCTGTAGTTGAAATTACTACAGAAAGATATCTTCATTTTCTCATAATCCTTATTGAATTTATCAGCTACTTAATGACCTATGTATTATTTTCTTATTCTAAATAATAGTAGAAATAAAATTGCGATTATTCGTTACTGTTATTCTGATAAAGAGTTACAATTTAATCATGAAAATTTGGGATCGTTATATCCAAATGTAAACAGACCGAGAATAATGAAGTTATCAGTTACCACTAATCGGTTTCAATACAACCTTTATACTAAATTGTTATCGATTATTGGTTTTAACTTAAATAAGAGAGGTAAGGATCTCTCGTATCTTCTAATCTCCTTGAAAGAATACTCATGTTGATGATGTTGCCTAAATTGCAAACAAGTGTTGGTTGGCATTGGGATTTTACAGCATACCAAACTCCGCAGTTTTGAAGATTTAATTAGAAAGTAATGTATTTCCTGCCCTGTTCATCAATAATGGGTGGGTGTCTAACATTCTTTGATGCGATAACATGATATTGTGTGGTTATTATGACGGTTTGTGTCCGTGTTCAGTTTTTCTGATACGAATCATTTATTGGATCCTTTAGTGTTAAAAACTGAGTAAATGTACCAAGCTGTTTGAGTCAGTTAAATGTCAGTGACACGTGGAGCAAACGTAAATAATGCTATATTTAACTTCGCTACTGGATTAGTTCCAAAAACCTAGAATTACTGAAGGTCAGCAAACATCTGAAAGAACTTAGACAGAAAAAAAAGAACTTCATTGTAGAAAGCCACAACTCGTGCAGACAGAAAATGCATTGGCAATATTCTTAGTTTGGCATCTTCGTTTAAAATATAAACCTATGCGTGGCTTCATAAAAAACAACATAAATCCACGATAATTTAATTTTGCTTAAAACGTCAAAAGACCACAAACTTAACACAAACTCAATCACAAAGATACTCATATTCTCTTTGAATCATTTAGGATTATTTTTCTATGGTTTGTTTTCTTTGTATTACTCACAAAAGACATATTTTCTTGATGTCACGAAACAAATATTTTGTTTTATATTTTCACTTATCTGCACCTACTTGATAGTGGGAGGGTTAAGTAGGAAATAGAATTATCTGAGAGGAAAACAAGGTCATTTGTTCCGTGAAATAAAGATAACTAGACGAAAAACACAAATGCGATATCATTGATCTGATCTCCGAACATCGAGCTTAAGTTGCAAATCTTACGACGTTCAGCAAACAATATTAAAATTTATACATTTTGTATTCAGTATATATTTTCAAATATTTTAGAAATCCTCCGCGGAAGAGACCTTGTAGAGCCTGAAAAAATGTTTTTTAGATGAAGAAATCTAAAATTTCGAGATGACTATTTTTTAAATTCTGCTAAATTGGTGAGTTAAAAATTAATAATATTTTATATTGGTTTAATCAGAAATCTGAAGCAAGAGCAATACGAAATTGTAGTAGGAGCCAGTATTCGAATTATCCAATATTTCGTTATTCCGAAATCCAATTTATCCGACAATTCGATTCACCAAAAACTAATCACACAAAAGTAGTTGAACGAATTCATGATATCCAAGAATATGAATTAAGCAAGAATTCGAATTAAATAACAACTCGAATGTCTTCAGTATCAAAATTATCCAATAACGTGTTCGCGTTAACTCCACATTGGTAATTCTCATACTTGAATCATTCGAATGTTCGATCCCCTGAAATTTAAAAACATTAGTGTCCTAAAACTTTCTTGTCCGTATTTTCACGCAAAATTACGCGAAAACTGAAAATTTCGAAAAATTGTACATTAAAATTTTAAAATCAATATTTAAGGAACAGATTTCATTAAGGGAGAAATCTTTATTTGTAATATTTTTGTTATAGGAAGACAACGAAAAAAATTTCCAATTCTTCTTTTCTAATTTTCAAAAAATTAGGATTTTTAACGAACATGAGGCCTGCACCATTCACTTAAATGTCCTTCACACTATCCAACAATCAAAAATGATTGAGCCATTTTTTTGAAAATTTGAAAATGTCCCAGGGGCTTCATGTAAAGTACCCCCAAAATTAAAGTATCGGTTTGAAATTCAAGTTGCCACATCAGCCAGATAGATTAAGGAATAATAATTCTAGATCGGCTGAACGATTTAACCGCTAGCGTTGTTCAAAGGCGGGCGGACAGGCGGGCGGACAGGCGGGCAAACGGGCGGGCAAACGGGCGGGCAAACGGGCGGGCAGGCAGACAGACATACAGACTGATTGACACATACGTTTCGTCGTCCTTCGATTTTTCGGTATCAAGTAGCCACAAAATACGGATTCTGGCTACACCACGTGATAAAGGATTTTTTTTCTAAATTTAGGAACTGGTTTTATCCATTTTTCCGACTCCAGAACCGTGTAATAAGCGTTTTTCTGCCAAAAATTTGATGTTTTTCCTCGCAGCTTTCCATAACTTTCTACTCCGTAGCGAGAAAGTAACATGATTTGAAAGAAGAAGGCGCGCGGAGCGTACTTACTTCATCGTAGTGCAGACGCCCCTGTCGTCATCCTCGTAGTCGAAGTCGGCGGGGTCGTGGTCAGGGTCGAGCCAGGCGCCCTCGCCCGCCCCCGCGCCCAGCGCCACGCCCATCAGGAGCAGCGCGAGCAGCGAGCGCCCCGACGCGGCCATCGCCAGAGAGCGTTGGGCACTGCGCGCCTATCGCGCCACACGCCAAGCGGCGCTTGTCGCTTTTTTTCTTGTCGGCGCCGCCGGACGGGCGGAAGGAGGGGGCACGCAGCGACGGCCTCCTGGCGACCGAAAAGGAAACGGCGGCGCAGACTGGGAGCTCGGCTCGGGCCGAAACATTTCACTCTCTCGCCTAACTACGTGCTTACGTAGTACAGAGAAAGTATTGTAACGCTCCGATTAAAAAGACGATTTTTCCACAGATTTTTTTAGTTTTATGTAGTGTTATAACAACGTGCGCTAGGGAAGTCCCGCACAAAGCCGAATCAGGGCCCCCTGATAAAAATTGCATTTATGGTGGTAGACCACATCACTGGGAAACAAATGACGGGCAACACCCAGCATATGCTATGATCGTTGAGCTACGCATATTTTTATATGAAGGACTGGCTGAAGGGCAGACTGACGGACGGACGGACTGACAGTTGGAGTGCCGCACGTTTCGTTTCGCTAATGTTTTGTTCCAATTACAATACCTCTGGAAAATTGTATACTTCGCGCGTTGTGCTAGGAGAAGGCTGAAAAATTGAAATAGGCACAACTTAAATATGTAATTGCTGCGCTGCTATACGCGTTCAGTATTTCAAAGTATATGATGTAAAACAATGATGTTTGCATCAAAATATGAGTTTGGATAAAAGGATAACAAGTGCCCAAGGCATACTATCATAATTAGTACAATTATATTTATATCCCACAAGGAAAAATACGTAAGCACAGAAAATATTTCAATTAGAAGTACAATTATCAAAAGAATTATGCATACGCACAAAAGTTTTTATATAAATTCAGATTAAACAATATCAAGTAACCATAAAAACATCACAATATCGTAACAATGCGACTTGTTACGAAAGAAAAAACCTAAAATACTGATCAATGAAAATTTCACATTCACATTTACTTCATTTCGGGTCAATACGTATAAAGAAACTTACCAACGATCAAATTATGTTAAGTTCACTGATCAGAATTGTCAAAAAATATAGTAAATTGCTTTTTCTTGTATTTTTCAATCAATTGTTACCATATTATTTATCAGTTTGGCCTGAAGATGTCGGAGAAATATACCCCGAAACCGTAAAATTAGCATAGGCGCTCACCACGCCCCTGTTCTTTCCATTAGTTAATTCTGCACTAATTGACTGTTGCCGATTGAACGCGATAATTGCAACCATTTGGCGAAATCGGGTCTGATGTTGGCACTTATTTCCAGAATTTGGCGCACATTTCGCGAATTATGTTTAATCAAAGCAATTATAAAGAAATGAGTGCGACGGAAATGATTTAATAATTATGGTCTCAATAGAACACAAATTTACTTTCAAAATAATGTTCCACAAATTATTTTTAATAAAATAATATGCAGGTGAAACCTAAAAGTGGAATGGGGTTTGATATTCTTGCCGCCAATATGTTGGCTCGAGAGCGTTTCCGGAAGGAAAGAACTGCCAGGAAAAAAAAGCGGAATGAGGAAAAAATAACTTTTGGTCAGATAATGAAATATCTTCCTTTAAAATGGTATAAAGAGCTGAAAACTCGAACAAATTTAACCCTTTTGTTGGATTAAATTACACTAATTGTATGGATTTATAGGCAACAGCAGAGATGAGAAATTTAAGAAAGGACAAAATTTTGTGTAGTAGGTGCTTTGGCATTTAAAGCAGTAAGAAACCGCACAAAAAAAAAAAAAAAAAGGAAAGAAAATATTGAGGAAGTATCATTTTGTATGGTGTATATTGTCCTCTTTTGCTGGCATCGTTCGATAAAGACCGATCGTTTCCGTAAGACATGTGATGAATGGAGAGAAAAGATTTATGCCCAGGAACAGGGCTGGATCCGAACGGACAGAACCAGCGCGGAAGCCACATGGCGCGACAGCGCGCGGACATGGCGGAACAGGTCCAGGGCGCCCGGAACAGTGCTACGTGACACGGACAGAAAGTGGCTGGACAGCACCCATGCGCGGACAGTGCGACAACAGCGGACTGGCGGAATTGGCGGACTGGGCGGACAGTGCGACTGAGCGGGCGCGGAACAGACCGACCGACGGGACAGACATGTGCGGACAGAGAAAAAAGGACCTGGCGGACAGCCTGGCGGACAGCCTGGCGGACAGCTGGCGGACAGCCTGGCGGACAGCCTGGCGGACAGCTCGGAGCCGACTGACCGGACGACTGACGGACAGAACTGACGGACAGACTGACGGACAGACTGACGGACAGAACTGACGGACAGGACTTGCGGACAGACTGCGGACCAGGACTGGGACGGAACAGGAACTGACGGACAGACTGACGACAGCAAGACTGGAGGACTAGACTGACGAACAGCACTGACGGACAGACTGAAACCGGACCAGACTGACGGACCAGACTGACGACAGACTGACGGACAGAGCTGACGGACAGACTGACGCGACAGACTGACGGACAACTGACGGAACAAAACTGACGAACAGACTGACGGAAGACTGAACGAACAGACTGGACGGACAGACTGCGGACAGACTGACGCACAGACGACGCAGACTGACGGACCAGACTGACGAACAGACTGACGGACAGACTGACGGTCAGACTGAATGGACAGAACGCTAGAGCATCAATCTTACGTTGTACGTGAATCAACTCTTGCTGTGACTTGGACAGATTGGTGTGGCGAAAAGAGAGAAGAAGAAGAAGAAAGAGAAGGAAGGAGGGAAAGTTGATAAGGAATCAAGGATGAAAAGCAAACGAGAAAAAAACGAAAAGAATAATGACAAGACGGAAAGTGGGATTCAGAACGAGAAGAACAAAGAGAATTAAGAGCATTAAAGAGAATGAAAGCAGAAAAAGAAGGAGAAAAGGGACAAAGAGGGGGCGAGAAAAAGAAGGAAAACACGTTGAAAGAGAATGTCACGCCAAGAACTACATGTAGAACGAGTACTAGTAGGAAATGGAGAAGGTGGGGGGGGGGGGGGAATAAAAACAAAGGATGGTGACGGAAACGAAGTTGGGGGCACATGATATTGAAGAACAGTGGCGTCTCCTAGATCAGGCCGATGTTGCGATAGGAAGTAGCAAACAGTAAGACCCTGGTTGCCTTCACTACTTCGTGCAACCTGGCGCTCAGGCGCCATTATCTCATTTTGGGCTAATTTCTTGGAGTTTCGTCACAATCTAGTACAATTTCATGAATCACTATTGCAACTGGCCAAAAGTACACGTCACTGCATTGTACTGCTAGAACACCCTGTATGCCACTTTCACCCACTCTCATTCATTGTACACCCATTCTTTGTCTTAATTTTAACAAAACCTGATTATTCTCTTCCGTTTCGTCGTCACAACACCTACGCATACAGAACTCGCAGACACAATATCAGTCATGATCTCTGGAATGTACAGCAGTGTTACACAATACTAGAATTTAATAATAAAATATTGTTTTAAAATAGCGTTTTCAAGACTTCGCACATTCCATAGTGTTCGCAGTTAAAACTACGAGCTACATAATTCTCGAAACTTCGAACTTGAGAAACAGTAAGAGATGGCTAGGAGCATCAACTGATGTCACTGCAGTCCAAACCGGCAGGTCCTAGGTTCTAGTACCGACGGTGGCAGGATTTTCGACACTGGCTTCTTAGCTAGCTCAGTCGGTGCCTGGAGGAGACTTCTAGCAGCCGGCTGCTCGGATCAGTAGTTTTCCGTGGTTTCTCCGATCAACACCAGGCGAATGCCGGAGCAGTACCCTAACAAACGGGCCACGGACAGCGCACGATCTCACTTTCCTCTTCCTTGACCTATCCTCACCCATTACACACACACCCTTACACTAACATGCACTACACTTCCACGCATACCGGGAGACCGGTCGGGAGCTTAGAGCTTGTCCCGGCTGGGGCGGTGCTCTACTGGTGGGAGATACCTGGTTGTGGAAAACTCCTCTAGCCGACAGTAGTTCGGCTCCAAATCTTGCCATACAGCGAGGAAAAGATCACCACCGCCTCCCGAGAAAAAAAAGCACTACGCTTACCAGAGTAATAAACCGTAATTGACGTACCTTAGTGTTGCCAACGCCGTGAAAGAAAATTATGGCGTAATTTCCGGCATTTTCAGCAAGATTGTAGCGCCGAAACGTTTTTGGAAATTTCTTTGATTGTTTCAGCCAGATCCGAAAACAAATTATCAGTTCCCTATCAGAAGACCGAGACACGTCGAATGACACATCATACGTCTCGATTGGTGCACGGGAAGTGGTCTAGCCGCGAGTGACAGAATCGCTCACACACACACGCACACTGCACATACGCTAACTCGATCATTTTATTCGAATACTGTATAGGGATAGAGATTTTTTCCTTTAATTTGTTGCAATCTAACAATAGGAACGCCGCGATACCGCGTGAATAATCTTTCATAGTGAGGCGCTGTTTGTACAAGTAAAAGGGTGTTTCTTCTGCAAGAAAATGGTATAAACAACCAGGACATAGTGGATTTAAATTTTGTATTTCTGGTGTTAATATAAGAAAAGATGAAAAGAGCTTGGAGACTGTCATTCGAATCTTGAAAACAAATATTCCTTGTCTTCCAAGACTAACTTCAAACAATAGGAACGTCTTCCAAAACTTCTTTGTCTGAGTAATGTGAAAACGCGGTGGTAAATTGCGCAACACCGTAATGTCCGTGAAATTGGTATTACTGTGTGACACTCATACCTTTTTGAATAATGTTTGTGTGGACTGCAGAAATAATTACTGCTTCTGGTAAAATGAAATTTCTGCATCATATAATTCGTAAAAAATGCAATTATTTAGGCTTTCATTCATAAAATAATACCATTGTCGGGGAGAAAAATTTCAAGAGCGTGTGGAAATATGATTTTCAAGGGACCAGGTCTTTTGTAATACTTTGTGCCAGGGAAAATTATTGTTGCACTAAAAATGAGGTTTAAATGTTTTG